GGCATGTGGTGCTGGGGGATTGAACCGCGGTCCCTGATGCTTTTGCTAAGCTTGTTCTAAGTAGGTGCTTTAGACCACTGAGCCATCTCTCCAGCCCCAATAAAAGCGTTTTTAAGGTGTTTAAAATTTTCCAATCAAGATGTGAAAGAACATGAAATTTAAACAACGCAGAAATTATAAAATATGAAAACTGCAGATTATCTAGAAATCATTTTATTCAAAGGCTGGATTTGATAGCAAGGCCTACACAGGTGCAGTGTCTTGCACAAGGCCACCAAGTTAATAAATGGCATTCTGGACTTAGTTCAAGAATCACAGAACCAGAGAGAACTTAGAAATCCTTATAGCGATAGAGATAGACTTGCCTATCAATAGTCCGTCTGTAGATTCGTTAAGGACAGTGCTTCGTGTTCCCAGTGTCCAGCGCAGCGTCTGGAATGTAAAGGTGATGGGCTCCCTGAAGGAAGTTAAAGGGTAGGAAACAAGATTCCTAGTTGAACTGGACACTTAATCTTGCCCTGAATTGCATTTTTTTCTTAGTGAATAATAGTGAATACATAACAATTACGCTATTCAAATAGTTATATTCTTATAAAGTGATGTAATGGAATAACTGGCATTTAAATCTTGCTTCAACTTATACTACCTAAGGAAGCTCAGCTATTCGATTTCAAATGGCTGCACAGAGTCCGCTGACACAGGACACTTGCTAGCAGATTAAGTTTCGGGCAAGTGACAGATTAGACAAAATGGACTACAAGAAAAAAATAAATGAACTCTAACAAAAGGATTTTGCAAACTCAAGTACATGGAGACAGTAAATATTGGCTGTTTAATTTTGAGACTTTAGAGTGTATTTTTGTTTTGCTTTTGTTTTTCTGTTCACTGAAGTAAAATCTTCACTGAAGATCAGTTGATAAGCAAAGTTGTTAAAACTTAATTCTCAAATGTCAAGAGATTTTTGGCAAATAAATGTTGAAATTAATTCAGCCACATTTAAAATATTTATGGTGGGGCTGGGGAGATGGCTCAGTAGAATAAGCGCTTGACTGGTAAGCGCAAGGGCCTGAGTTCAATCCTCGGTTCTGCCAAAATAAATAAAAAATTAAAATTTTTATCTTATTCGTGCATATGAGTATCATAACTCTGACTTTCAGTGTGATGTCTTCACCTACGCACGTATTTGATGGCACCCACGTTTCTGATTGCTTTCTCCTATTCTCACTTTTCCGTGTTCTCCTTCTTTTCTTTAATATTAGCCTCCCTTTTGGTGCTGTGTTTTTCATACCACGTAATAGTTGAAACAAACAGTACACACCATTCTGAGTCTGGCTTGTCTTTCTTAACATGATAGTCTCCAGTTCCATCCATTCTCCTGCATGTGACAGAACTGCATTCTTCTTGGTGGCTGAAGAATGCTCCGCTGCGTATGTAAACACATTTTCTTTACTCCTCTGTTGATGGGCGTCTGGGCTGGTTCCAACCTTGAGCATGTTGGACTGTGTTGCAGGAGGTGTGCAGGCATCTCTAGAATGTGTTGCCCTTAATTCCTTTGGGTACATTTCCGGGAGTGGCATAAATGGTAGGTCTACTTCTGGTTTTTCTGGGGGCTCTCCACGCTCATTCCCATAGAGGCTGTGTTCCAAGGATTCTTTCTATGTGATTCCTCGTCAGTGTTTGTTGTTTCTGTGTTCTTGATGACAGCCATTCTGTCAGGGTCAGACTGAATCTCAATGGAGTTTCTGTCTGCATTTCCTTACTAATAAAGACGATACACATTTTTTCATATACTTATTGGGCATTTTACCTCTTGATAAAAAAATACATTTGTTGGGCTGGGGAGATAGCTCAGCAGTCTAAGTACCTGCCTATGAAGTGCAAGGACCCAGGTTCAACCCCAGGTACCGCATGCCATGCCAGCAACTGAAACTGGGCATGGTGATGCACATCTGTAATTCCAGCACTTGAGAGGCTGAGACAGGAGGCTCATTATGAGTCCAAGCTGCATAGCCAGATCCTGTACCAAATAAGTAAATATTATTTAAAAATATGTTTGTTGATTATGATCTTTGGTGTTTTCTTTTTTGGCATGAACTTCTTTTGAGTTCTTTGCTGGGTATGCTAACAAGATTCTTAGTTATATATTGCTTTTATTTTATTTATTGTACTAATGGGACTCGAACCCTAGGTCTTTGCCCTGAGCTACATCCCCAGTCCTATCCCACCTCTCTTTTATTGAAACAGGATGCTAAATTGCTCAGGCTAGGCTCAAACTTGAGATTCTCTTGCCTCAGCCTCCCAGAGTTCTGGGGCTACAGGCATGCATCATGATGTCCAGATGAGTTCTTTATTCATAATAGCCAAAAAGCAAAATTATCTAGATGTTCACCAACTAATGAGCAAACAAACACTTGTGTCACACCCATGCAGTAGAAGTGTCTGTCATAAGCAGAAATTGAGCACTGACACACACCATGCGATGGATGAAGTCTGAATGAAGTTGTGACAAGGAAAGAACACACGCAAAGGAATGCATGTTGTGTGATCCATTTGCATGGACTGGACAGAATAGGCAAATTCATCTGCATACAATGGAGATTAGTGATTTCCAGGGGTAGGGAGAGGGGCTGATTAGCGACTGCTGCTGGGTACGAAGGGTGATCTTTTCTCAGGGGATACTTCACAAGTTTGCGTGTCAGCCTTGCACGGGGCCAACCTAGCCATCTCTGCATGTTCTGATCTTAGTGTGCATACTTCCAAAGCAGGCACTGAAGATCAGTGGTAACGGCTGCATAAGGTTGTAAATGTACCAAAAACTATTGAATCATACACTTTATTTATTTATTTATTTTGCTCGGAATGCCTTCAGGGCAGGTTTGGCTGGCTTGAGTTGTGGGGATTGAACCACAGCAACCTGAGCCTGACTGCTTTGTTGAAGCAGTCACTTAAAGAACTGAGCTAAGGGGCAGGCCCCCAAATCGTAAACTTTAAAAAGATGAATTTTATGTCATATGAATTATATCTCCCAAGTTATTCCAAATAAAATCTATGGGAAATTAGATACTTCTCAGAAACTTGGTGGGGATAGAGCCCAGTGGAAGGGTGTGCGCTATCATGTCTCAGGCTCTGGGATGGATCCCCGGTACCAAAACAGACTTTAAAAGCTAGGAACCAAGTCGCCCCAGGGCCGCCACCGCCGAGGAGCACCTCAACAGCACACACATGGGGGGCAGTGATGGCACTTCGCCATGAACAGGTGGGATTGGGCTTGCAGATCAGGCATGCAGTCTTGCTGTTACTGTCTAATCTGATTTCTAGAAGCCCCTGGCTCACTGGCTATTTTTAAAAATATTTATTTATTTATTTGGTACAGGGTCTTACTATGCAGCTCAGACTCATAGTGAACTTCCTGTCTCAGCCTCCCCAGTGCTGGGATTACAAGCGTTTATCGCCACACTCAGTTTCGGGGGCAGCACGGTGCACCTGGGTTATGGGGGATCCAACCCAGCTCCTTGCACTTGCCAGCAGATGCTCAGGCTGCCAAGCTATCTCCTCAGCCCCATTATTGGTTACTTTTGATGGTCTTGTTTTTTACAAAAAAGTGAATGCTCCCTGCCTCATTTTCTGTGAATTACAATGATTTTCTGGCATTTTAGGCTAGTGCGTATCTGGGAAGAACGAGTAAGCTTAACCAAGCTAAAAGAAAAAGTCACCAGAGAAGATGGAAGAGTCATTTTGAAGATAGAGAAAGAAGAATGGAAGGTAAACTTTATAGAATGTTTGACTTTCCCCTTTGGTGCGAGAGATGACAGAATGATGGTGAGTCCCTATAGCCAGAATAGTTAGAGATTCTGATTTTAATAATACACCAAATGGTTTCGAGCAACATGAGTGATAGAAAAGAAGTTCAACTTTACAAGCTTTTTGAAGAAGTTTAGTTTGCTCCAACCCTGACCTTGTCATGTGTGTCGTTTCTTTTCCTAATCCCTGTAATCAGCATTTCCTCTTCCATAACAAATGCTTATCTGCCTACTAAAAATCAAGTAGCTTTTTCAAAGAAATGCTTAATTAAAATTTAATTTAAAAACTGGGGATGTAGCTCAGTGACACAGCACCTGCCTATTAAGTGTAAGGCTCTCTATTCCTGGTACAGCCCCAAATCCTAAAATGGAAATGTTTTAAATTAGGCATGCCATATTCATTTTCTCTCTTTACATACACTCACATGCAGTTACTCAATTACATTAGGTAATTTTGATAAAGGTTTCTAACTTTTGGGTCAGTGTTTGCTCTTGAACATATATCTTTTTTTTTTTTTTTTTCTGAACCGGGGATTGAACTCAGGCCTTTGCGCTTGCCAGGGAAGCGCTTATTCCACTGAGCCATCTCCTCGGCCCCATTGAATATATATCTAGATAGGTGTTTAATTCATTTATTTTCTCCTGTCTATTTTACACTGAAAGAGAAATGACACAGAGTTAAAAATAGTTGAGCCTCTTAAAATCCCTGACTTAAAAAAAAATTCTTAAAAAAATCTCTTATAAAATACTTTAAAATAGTAGTGGAAGTTGTATAGGGAAATGTTAACTTACAACATGTTACATGTCCACTGTGTGGTCCCACCATATGAAAGAATGAAGCTGAGAACCAAAGGAAGAAGTTAGGAGAGTTTAATTGGAAATGAGGAGAATAGTTCCTGGATTTCCAGGAGGGGTCCTGACCAGGGTGATTTATACAGTGAAGTCACAATGTGAGTACAAGGTGGGTCAAACTACAATTGACCTGTAAGATTGCAATTATAGCTACTTAGCTAATTTTAGGTACACTCTACACTTAGTTAACAGAAAAAGTCACTAGGAAAGATGGAAGAGGCACTTTAAAGATGACCTGCAGGGTAACAGGTCATATAGCGGGGGTGCATGGAAAGAGCAAAGACGTTAGGTGAAGGGACAGGTCCGGATGCTGTCACCTACCTCTTCGACCAACATCTCTTTGGACTAGGTGGTGCTAGTCACAGTATAATTCCAAGTCACTGTTCATCCCTTAGGGACCACGTCAGCCTGGCCATCGTATCTTTGTCTTGGGCCTGGCCTTTCTCGGGTGCTCCTCCAGCAGCAATTCTGACAGATTGATCGATTGATTTTTGCTGACTTCCTTGAGAGCCCAGTCCCTCTCTGACTACTGTAGTGTGTATTTACTTCTAATTTAGCTGCCCATAATAGGGGGACAGTTTCAATTACTGATTAAGATAATTTTTTGTATACTCTTGTTTTCAGTAGCATACATATTCCATGGACGCCCAGTTGAATAGCTTTAGGACAGATATCTATGTGTGTACATTATTAACCAAAACATGGCATTTTTGTTTATTGTGATTGCAATGGCAAGCAGAAACATGGAAAAGACACCCAGGACTTGGAGCAGACTTACTTCCACAGACAGGCCCTGCTCCAGATCACTCCCAATGCCAGGCCCTGATCACTGCTGCTCTAGGGCTTCCATGGTGCGAGCCAGAAGTACAGAGGCAGAACGGCTTGTCACCTGGAGACTGGCTTATGCAACGTCTACAGCATCCAGTGATTTCTACGAGACCAGAAACACCTGGAACTGGAGCAGGAACTATTACCTGGGCGAATAGAAAACTGAAATATACCAGCTGGGCGTGGGATTTTCTGCTACATGATTAGAGTTTAAAATTTAAAAAAAAGAAAAGAAAAATCTATGTGTAGTGGTACACACCTATAATCCCAGCACTGGTGGGGCTGAGGCAGAAGGATTGCTGTGAGTTCCAGGTGAACCTGGGCTACCCAGTGAGTTCAAGGCCAGTCTAAAATACACTGCAAGATCCTGTCTCAGTACTTCTAGGAAAATGGATGCCCCTTAAGTTCATATTCTCTTAAGTGAAATAAATCAGACACACATGTAAATACCACATCGTTTCTCTGGTGTGAGAAACCAAAAGTGTAAATAATGACCAATTTTTTGTTTGTTTGTTTGTTTGTTTGTATCTAGCATAGGGTCTACAGGGTCTCACTACACAGATTGGGCTCAGTGATTTGCCTGTTTTCAGCCTCCCAAGAGCTGGGATTGCAGGTGCATGCCACCACGCTCAGTCTCATTAGCTGTCTCAGGGTGCCCCAGGGGCAGGACCGGCACAGCAAGCTGGGGATTGAACCCCTGCCACTGTGCTCTGCCTAAGCAGGTGCTTTAGTCTGCTGAGCTATCTGGCCAGCCCTCAAAATGTGTATTAAGTATTGTGAAATGGGAAGAAAATGTTCAAATCAAACATCACACTTCAGTATGGCATGAGACTAAGATTATTTAAGTAATACAGTGACTCTGTAATTTCTTTCAGATTCTTCCTTCCTCTTTACTGAAATTGACTCAGCTTCAGGAATGGCAATTGCATAGAACTGGTTTGTTGGAAATTCCTGAATTCATTGGAAGATTCCAGAACCTCATTGTGTTAGATTTATCTCGAAACACTATTTCAGAGATACCTCCAGGAATTGGTAAAGAAGATTTATTTTTATTCCTGTGATATTTTATTTACCTTGAGAAGCGTGTTTTGGGAAGGGAGGCAAACAGGCTCCTATGTGGCTGGGATCATAAGCATGCCAGGCTCAGGGGGGCTTTTTATTGATTTTTTGACACATGAGTTAAAGTTCTCATCTATGTGCATCTCTGACTCTTGAGACAAATTTAAGTATTTAATCTACATTGAAGCTTCCAGGGAATCCAAGTTGCTAGCTTTACTGAAGTAATTCAACATGAGATTTTAATGTGTAGGGATTTGCATAGGAAATCTTGTTTTGTGGATTCTCAAAGCAGTACTGCTGGTTCCATTTTTTCATTTTACTAAGTTAGGTTTAGTTATTCCACTTCAGTAAGACTGGTCGAACACACTGAAGAAAAATAGATTCACTGAACAGAGGGAAAATGTCCCCAAATGGAAAACTGTAGAGTATGTTTTGTTTTGCTTGTTGTACTATGTGTTGAACTCAGGGCTTTTTGCATGTGAAGAAAATGCTCCACTACTGAGCTACTCTCTGGCCCGGTATGTAATATGATTAGCACAAAGTACACTTACTCTGTCTTCCATGGCGCTGATAAACCCATCTCTTGTTCGAGGAAGGAACAGTAAACTGGGTGAGGAGAATATAAGAGCTATGAATTTGCTGATATACAAATAATTAATGTTGTAACATTTAATAACCAGAAACTTCTTTTTCTTGTGTGTTACTTTTTTGCAGGACTGCTCACTAGACTTCAGGAATTAATTCTTAGCTACAACAAAATCAAGACCGTCCCCAAGGAGCTAAGTAATTGTGCCAGCTTGGAGAAACTAGAGCTAGCTGTTAACAGAGACATTTGTGATCTTCCACAGGAGGTCAGGAAGATCTAGCTAGTCGTTATTACTTATTACTCTTACTAGTTAGATCCTATTATTAGATCTACTGATTATTTCTCAATTGTGTGATTGTTAAAGATAAGACTAAAAAGAAAATATATATTTTATTTGTTGAAAAGTAATTTCCTATTATTATATGATTTGGCTTTTAATTAAAGGTTTTACATAAATGATACTTCTATTATTGTCACAGACTTTGACATCATTTGTTGACTGTCATCTTGGAGGCCAAAATGAGCTTTACTTATTAAATTCCCAAAATTGAAGGCAAGTCAAGGTTGTAGTGATTATTTATTAAATATTTGGCTTTAATGAATAATTACTATAAAGCCACAATGCAGTGATAGAATGGTCAGTTTTCAAGACAGAGAAGATGTGAATGTAAGCAATGTTTCTTGCCAGCTTCCTAAACTATCAAGTAAAAGTGAGGCAATGCATTGGAAAGTCTTCAAACTTTATTTCGTTATGATGTCACTGCTTAAACCAAATTGTTTATTGAGTATTTATTATATATTTGGCACAGGGTCTCACTGCTCAGCTTGGACTCCTGGTGATCCTCCTGTTTGCAGCCTCCTCAGTGCTGGGATTACAGGTGTGCACCACCACCCGGCCCAGACTCTGTAGCTGGCTCAGTGCACCCAGGGGCAGGGCTGGCACGGCATGTGGTGCCTGAGATTGAGCCCAGGTCCCTGCACTTGCCTAAGCAGATGCTTAGTCCACTGAGCTATAAATTGATCATACAAAAATAAACACTTTTACGTTACTTTTCAAACATAATCTTATTAGAATCAGCAGAAGAAATTTCTTTTCATGATGTTTTGCCTTGAAAACAAGTTTATAAAATAGAAGTTAAGAAAAATTTATAAAAATCAAAATAAAGCTTATTTTAGCTTTAGCTGATTTTCTTGAGGAGCATATAAAACTTCTGTCTGTAAAACCAGTGAATATACCATGAATAGTTGCCCTTGCATGGAAACATGGGTATATATTTCATTATACAATAGTTACATTTAATGAAACATATGAGAAAAATCAGAATTTTTTTCATAAAGGCATATATATATATATATATATGTCTGGCTCTATTACTAACAAGCTATGTGAATTTGTTGTAAGCCTCACTCAGTCTTTAGCTTAGTTTATTTACTTGGTGAAGTTATACTGGAAGAAATACTGAAATAAGACCTTCAACAGAGATGCTTTAATTCCCTGGACACACCATTTGCATAACTAGATCTCACTTCTGACATGTACAAAATTAGACTTTATGATTGCTTTATTATCTTTTCAATGTTCCAAAATCAAAAATTCTAGCACTACCAAGAGGCCAGTTGGAGTCTCATTTGTCAGACATTAACTGTACACACTAGATACACACAAGTATGTATTACTATAAAAGCAATCTTTTAATACTGTTTTGAACCATTTAAAAATTGAAAGAATCTACTTGGGGATTTCGCAAAAGGTTTATTTATGATTCCCAAAGCTGGAGAAATAGCATCACCTGCTAGACAGAACCCTACAGTTTTTTGGACTATTTAGTGTGTGTGTGTGTGTGTGTGTGTGTGTGTGCTGATTTTGCAGGAAGAATCTGAACATGCTCTGGGATGGAAATGAAGCATCTTCCTAGCCAGCTGTATAGTTGTTGTTTGGTTTGATTTGGATTTTTTGTAAGAATTAACTAAATCTTTATACCCTGAAATTTTCACCAGGATATAGAAATAGAAAAGAAATTCTGTGGTTTTAAGTTGACGAAATTTGAGTTCACAAGCCAGCTGTAATTGTGCACACCTATAATCCCAGCTTGCAGGAGGCTGAGGCAGGATGATCACTGTGAACCTGAACTCAGCCTGGACTAAACTGTGGAGTTCAAGTCCACCCTGAACTACAAAGTGAGACCCTATCTCAAAAACAAAAACAATAAAATCTCTATCACTTTTAGTTTCATAAGTTGTCTGAGCCATTGTATCCATAAAGTGGCAATAATAACACTCCCTTTGTATAGTTGGTGTCAGAATTCTAGTTTCCTTAAGGCATAATGGTGGACTCCTCATGTATTTTTCTCAGACAAGCTGGGGAATACAGAAAATCAAAGAGATATATTTAAGGGCCGGGGAGATGGCTCAGTGGAATAAGTGCTTCCCTGGCAAGTGCAAGGGCCTGAGTTCAATCCCCAGTTCCGCCAAAAAAAAAAAAGAGATATATTTAAATGAATAAACTAGATCAATATGCATCAATATGAATATATTTAAAAACTGATAAGATAAAAAAGCATGTGAAAGGTAAGTATAGTAAAAGCATGACACTAAACTTTATGAAATATAATAATATATATAGAACCACAGAAAACATTTATGTATAGAAATATAAATATAAAAACATTCACACAAATGGTAGATATATTCAGAATGGGAACTGTCTCTGAAGGAGAGGAGCCTACAGTCATCCAAGGGTAGTCATATCAATACATATTTTATTTCTTGTGATGCTGAGGATTAAACCCAAAATCTTTGCACTGAGCTACATCCCTAGTCCTTCAGTTTTAAAGTTTCTTTTTTTTTTTTTTTTTCAGAACCAGGGATTGAACTCAGGTTCTTGCACTTGCTAGGAAAGCATTTATTCTATTGAGCTATCTCCCCGGCCCCTTTCAAATTATTTTGAGCAAGGGTCTTACTAAGTTGCTGAAGACGCACTCAAACTTGTAATCCTCTCAGAGTAGGAGTTACGGCAAGCATCACTGTGCCCAGTTGACATTTTTATTCTCAAAATGAGTGCCCTTGTGTATATTTTATTCTTAATAATTTTAAATTGCTTATTTCATTTAAAAATAGACCTGTTACCACATGGCCAGCCAATCCCAGAACCCCAGGCACACCATGCCTCCCCGAAATCTAGGGTGGGGATGCACATCTGCTGGGAAGGCTGAGACAGGATTACGAGTCCGAACTGTGTAGTGAGACCCTGTATCAAATTTAAAAAAAAAATAGAATTACCAAGCATTAAATTTAGTGTTTGAGATAATGTATATAAATTGCCAAGCATGAAATTTAAGGAAAGAAAACTGTTATGAAGATCCAATTTTTCCATATAATTCTCAATTGCTAGATGAAAGGTAATCAAAGAAAAACGTTTTGCCACTTACACAGGTGCCTTTAGACCTAGAACTTGCTTAGTTTGGAAGAATTTCCTTGGAATAGTTGCAATGGCTTTATACTCTCTTTTGGAGGGGTGGTAGGGAAGGAACCCAGGGCTTGATATACGCTAAGCCTGTGCTCTGCATGAAAAACATCTTGAGCCCAAACAAGATACTACTTCTACCAGTTTTTCATCTCATTGGGAACTATTCAGAA